AGCAGGCTGATCTCTTAGCCTTAATGCACTTTAGTGTTGTTGTTTTTTAATGTTTACACTTTGCCTTAGTTAAACAAAGGTCTCTTTTCTCCATAAGCCTAGGTATATAATTACACTTATTGATGGTCTCACAGAGACTGTTTCCTAGAGAGAACTCATTCGTCTGCCACAAGCCTCATTTGCATTGAAGAGATGCACACACTGAAGAGATGCCCACACCGATCTGAGTCTAGAGTGGTTATTAAATCCTTTTTAAAACTACTTTCCAAAGCTTGTCTCATTTGTGTGCCCTATTGAAATGTGATTCCTTTCCATGTTTTTTTTTCCTTTAACATTTTATTAGGAAGATTTTCAGATGTACCAGAAAGGAAAGAATCTTACAATTAACACTTACAGACCCACCACCTTGATTATATTGTGAACATTTTGCTACCTTATTTTATCACCTGTCTATCCATCTGCCCATCTCTTTACCCACCCGTTATTTTTTATGAATTTTGAAGTAAATTATAGGTATCAGTACACTTAAAAAAAAGATTTATTTATTTGAGAGAGAGAGTGAGCGTGCCCTCGAGTCAGGGTGGAGGCAGAGGGAGAGAATCTTCAAGCAGACTCCCCGCTGAGTGCGGAGCCTGATGCGAGACTCGAGAAACCGAGTCAGATGCTTAACTGAGCCACCCAGGCGCCCCACTATACTTTATTAGAATGCTTTAAGAGGGGTGGGATGGTCTTTGCTGTGCTGGGACTGCCAACTCTTGAGTGCCAGGGGTAAGAAAGCCACATCTGTTACTAAATGGTATGGATTAGCTCATCTTTTTTCCCTTAGCTCAGCTGTAGTTACAGTGGTAATTTCTCATGGATTATTTCAGTGTTTCTGCCTTAGAAAATCTCTTGGAAGACAGCTGATATCCCAAACAAACATTTATTTAGGAATATGAACTCCATAGAGAACATCCATTACCTCCATATCCCACAATGCAGGCCAAAATGCTTTCTTGTTCGTTTGCCCTAAATTTATTGTTGGTACATAGGAAGTAGGGCTTTCTTTTATCATACTGAGCTGACAAAAGCCTTAGGTTCTGAGGTACAGAAATTGTTTCTAGGCTGTTCTTGGCATCTACAGTTGTTTTACCATATGGTACTGGCTAATTTTGTCTGTTCTTCCCTTGAGGCTTTTGTGAATTGATTACATTTTTAGAAAATTTTTTAAATAACTTTTTAAAATGTCAAAGCTTTCTCAGTAGAATAAAATATGATGGGAGATTACGTCAACATGAGAACAAGTTAAGAGAATTTTTCTTAAAAACTTAAGCGTTTAAATTGAGTCTATACATAATTCCGTATTATAAGTTAGCATTGGTCATATTCGTGAAAGCCCCGTTGATACAAAATATAAAGTAACCTTGGAATTATAAAGAAGAAATAATTCAGTTAGTGTAGAAATCATATGGGAGTTTCTGTAGCTCTTCTCTCTCTGGAAAGGTCATTTCTGGCTAAGCACACAGTTTCTAAAGGGAAGCACAGGAGGGGTGAAGGAGAAAGAAGACAGCTTAGCCTGTCAGCTAAGCCTAATCAATCCTGGTCATCAGTGGGATCATTCATGTCACTTTCAGATTTGGAAGTGACATCCTGTAGAGCAGTTGCACCATAATATAATGGAAAAAACCTGTTTTTTTGAGTCAGAATTAGGTTTTGTTTCTAGTTCTGAAACCAGTTGTGTGACTTTAAGTCTCGCTAGGCCTAATTAGACTCATCTCAAGCCAACTGGTCTATTTTCTCCTTCCTCCCGGGGAGTCCTGTCACTGCTCATCCAGATCTCAGTGTGTCTGTCTGGGTGCCCACCAAGCGCTCCCAGGTGCCCAGGAAGCCCCGAGTAGGTAGCAGCCACCTACTGTCAAATGACATGGAAAATGGTAGGAGTAGGGAGCTCCAAGAATCAGTCCCCCATTGAAGTAGCCATTAAGCTGGCAAGTCTGACAGAATCAACCTTTTCAGAACTCTGGAATTGCTAAGTGAAAAATGAAAAAAGATTATAAAACAGTATGATCCCATTTTGGGTTTTTAAAATAAGTATTTATGGTACAGAAAAAAATTCAGAATATATATGAGTAGTGTTTCTCTCTGGCTACTGGGAGTACAATTATTATCTTGTTTATCTGCTATTCCTAAATTTTCTATAGTGAATATGTATTACTTCTGTAAAAAATAGCAAAAAGCAAAATAGAACAGTTTGGGCAGTTTCTCAAAAAGTTAAACATAGAGTTTCCACATGACTCAGCAATACCACTCCTAGATATATACCCAAGATAACTGAAAACATATGTACACAAAAACTTATACATGAATGTTTATACCAACATAATTCATAATAGCCAAAAAGTGGAAACAAAGCAGATGTTTATCAGATAAATTGATGAACAAAATGTGATATATCCATATAATGGAATATTACTCAACAGTAAAAAGAATGAAGTACTGATACATGCTTCAACATGAATGAACCTCAAAAACATTATACTAAATGAGCCAGACACAAAAGGTCATGTATTACACAATAACATTTATCGTGTATGTCCAGAATAGGCAAATCTGTAAAGACAGGAAGTCTGGTTGCCAGGGTCTGGGAGGAAGGGGGACTGGGAAGTAACAGTTAAGGGGTGTAGAGTTTTCTTTGGGGGATGATAAAAATGTTCAGGAATTAGATAGTGATGGTTGCACAACTTTGTAAATGTATAGTTGACCCTTGACCAACACAGATTTGAACTGGGCTGGTTGACTTCTCTGTGGATTTTTTACAGACACTACTCTACATGTATTTTCTCCTATGCTTTTCTTACTAACATTTTCTTTTCTCTAGCTTTATTGTAAGAATATAGTGTATAGTATGTATAACATACAAAATATGTGTTAGTTGGCTACCAGTAAGGCTTTGAGTCAGATAGGCTATATTAGTAAGGTTTTGGGGGAGTCAAATGTTACACGAGGATTTTCAACTCCATGAGGCATCAGCTCCTCTATCCCCCATGTAGTACAAGGGTCAACTTTACTGAAAACCACTGAACTGTATACTTTAAAAGGGTGAATTTTATGATCTGTAAAGTGTAGCTTAATAAAGTAATGTTTGAGAAAGGTAAAATAGACTATGAGCTACAAGCCATTAGAATGAAAAATAGATTTAGCAAGTTAATAGTCAAATTTTCACTGAATTCTGTAATTATAGTTACGGATTTTAAAAAATTTTTAAGTCCAATTAACATACAGTGTTATAATAGCCTATAGTTGTAGATTTTATTATTTTTTTAGTGATGGATTTTAAAAGTAAGTTTTGTTAAAGAGATGAGAATCAGGAAGTTATAAGCAATTATATAGCCGAATCTCCACAGCCTTTTTTTTTTTTTTTTTTTAAGTGAAAATTTGGTACATTTTAAAACTGATACAGGATACTGTTTTCTTCTCTTTTTAGGGTTTGGCTTTATATTTTTAATTATTTGCACTATTTTTAGAATTATCCTTTTTTTAATGCTTTTATCATTCTAATAGCTTTCAGAAAGTTTTTAATGAGAGTGTGTACATGTATGCTTGCTTGTGAGTAGATTTTTTCAAGTAAGCTGCCATCTCTAGATCCCATTTAATGATGTCTAAGTGGCTTAATCATGTTCTAGAATAATATAAGCAGTATAAATAGATCTCATTTCCCCCTTTTATGATTTTCCTTTCTCCTGTCCTCATCCCCTTTCCCTGGGCTTTATACTCCAAAATATAAAATGGGGTTAGAATATAATACCTTATTTTCAATTAATTCTTTCAGTAAACATTTATTTGAGTACCTGCTATCTGTCAAAGCACTGTGCTAAGGTTAAAGATACAAAAATAAAATATCTGGTTCCTGGGGCACCTGGCTGGCTCAGGCATAGAGCTTACTTTAAAAACAACAACAACAACAACAACCACCTGGTTGCAGACAGATAAAATGATACATCTTAGAGCTACTCTCTGAATAGTTAGGAAGGCATTTAACCCAGATAAGGGAGGTCATAGACAAGACTTCTTTCTACAATCAATAAAATTAGGTTGATCTTTGAAAGCAAGTTACATCTATTATGCATTTCTAGAAAACTATTGAAAGTAGAGCTCATGCTTGATTCTTAGTACATCCCACAACTACAGAAGCACAGAAAAAAATCTTGAGAAAAACAGTAGGATCTGTCTCCAAGACATGGTGTATATAAGCCAAACTCTTTGTTGGTTTTTTGGTTTTGTTTTGTTTTTTTAATTGGCATGAATACAAGCAGTAGATGAGCAAAGACCTGAGGTCAAAGTTTGGTTTCTGCTTCCTTGACTGCTTAACATGTTGAAGACTTTTTAAACTATCAGAGCTTTTAGAGGCTTTGCTTATCCTAATATACCTACTGTATTAAAAAGAAAAATACCATTATGAACTTGAAAGGAATCACTATTTTCACTGGTATTTTTAGAGAAACAGACAGTAGCCATATTAGTTGTTAAATATTGAAATATATCCTTACTGGTTGGTGAAGAGCTGATGCTGTAAGCCATCTGGGTGCTCTGCCATAGACTGTCCCCCAGGGACTCCAACCCTGTATCTCCCCACAATCCAGCAGCTAAAAGATTATCTCCAGGCATAGAAGGAAGCCTTAAGGACCCTGCTTCCGTACTACTTTGGCATCCATTTGGAGTGCTGGTGCCGGGCCATCCCCACTGTTTAATAATTTTGAGTATCACCCTGTCTTTCTGACTGTTCCGTAAATCATTGGCATTTTAACTATGTTTGTTTTCTGCCAATTGGAGTCTCAAATGACCCTAGCTCATCTGCCGTTGCTTATCTGTGTAGAAGCAAAATTGAGTTGTATTATTTGCTGAATAACCCAGAATACCATCGTACTGTAACTAATAGTCTCCTAAACCATGCTGCTCTTCTGTATTTCTTTCAATGATGACAGTTTGGCCTAAGTTCTGTGTTCTCTTATTGTTCCTTCCAGTTCATTTTGCACCTTATAGGCCTCCAGATATCTCCCTGAAGCCTCTGCTCTTTGAAGTGCCCAGCATCACTACAGAGTCAGTGTTTGTTGGCCGGGATTGGGTTTTCCATGAAATAGATGCTCAACTTCAGAGTTCAAATGCCAGCGTGAACCAAGGAGTAGTGATTGTGGGAAACATTGGGTTCGGCAAAACTGCCATCATTTCCAGACTGGTGGCCCTCAGCTGCCATGGAACACGGATGAGACAGATCGCCTCAGACAGCCCACACGCCTCCCCCAAACGTATGTATTCCTTTTTAAAGAACTCCCTGCTTCGTTGCTCTGAAAGTTTTTCTGACATATTAAGCCTTACATCCTTTTATTTTCTGATCTGCAAAACCTGACTTACACGAGAGGACCATTAATTCAGAGTTGAGAGAGAGAATGTAATACTCTGTTTACATTTAACCCACATATCTAGTGGTCACCTAAGTGTGACTGAGAAAACCTTTCTCTGGGAATAAATTTATAACTCTTCCCTTCTGGCAGTCTGGTTACTCTGTCCTTTGGAAGATGACTGCAGCATCGCCTGTAAGAGCCGTTTGCATCCGTCACTGTCAGCTGTTGCTCAGCCAGGGCCCGTGTCCTCTCGCTCCAAGCTGGCACAGTGTTGTGCAGCTTTAGTTTCCTTGCTCTTGAAGTCAGTACTGCACTGCTTGGGCTCGAACTTCATTGTGTCCTTGAAGGGTTTCTCCTGCTTCCTTGTGAAAAGATGCTGAGATCTCATATATATTCATACTTCTTTCATCACAGGGCACAGCTTAACGATCACCACCAGGATCTTATTTTTAAAATACTCACGTGGTCCTTAGTACCAGGCACTCTCTAAGATCTTAACCAATATTAATTCACCCAATCCTCTTATCAGCTCAGTAAGGTAATTCCTGTTATCTTGTCACAGAGAAGTGATGTGAGGCTCAAAGAGGTTAAGTAGACCTCCCAGGTTTCAAAGCCAGTCAATGGTGAAACAAGTGAGCCTAAGCAGTCTGTTTCAGAGGCCAGTCTCTTACCCACTTTACTGTCCTGCCTCTCCTTATTGGAGGAACTCATCTGAAGAAAGAGAATGTGTAGATGTTCTTCCTATATAACCTATATATATAGAACCAGTCTGCCTGGTTTCTATTACTTAGAACAAAACCAGAAACTATTGCTCTGCTAGTCCAAATCAATAATCTAGCTCACCGCAAATTTTCAGACAGCAACCGCTAGAGATGGCTTGAGATCATAGTAGTTACAGAGTCTAGCACATGCTAGAAACTCAACAGGAACTCACTTCGCATCCTCCAGATATTCTGGCTTCCTGATGAAATTAATTAGCAGCCTCCTGTCATTAAGTAGGCAGATTACCTCTGGTTAACTTAATGGATATCTCACATGGAGAAGAACTAGTGTCTACAGAGAAAACTGGTTGAATTAAGAGTCCCAGGGTATGATAAAAATTGGTATGGAAGAATTCCTTTCTCACAAGCACCGTCATGCTTAGTTTCTACAGGAAGCTTTTCTGGGGGAAACTGACATTGTGTGGTGGGAGCCAAGAGCCCAGAGTTTGAGCCCCAACAACACTCATGTGACTACACATATTTTGTAACTTGAGAATTTTAATTGAATTTTTTAGACCTGTTTTCTCATCTGTAAAATGAAGAAGTGATCTTTAAGATTTGTTCCTGTGTTAAAATTCTGTGATTCTAAAAACATATCTTCTTGAAGTTGAAAAGTAGTCGAAATTAACTCTCCAGCCTATTCCAGTATTTTCCTTTGAGTACTTAAATATCACACCAGACTACATCTTATCTGAGTAATCCAAGAGGTTAACTCTTTGAGTGTGTGAGAAAGAAAACCAGATTGCTAATAGGCTCTCTGACTCCTCTGTATATCGCTGTTGCAGATAACAGGATGGTAGAATCCTGCAGGACAGAATAAATCCCGAGGGCAAAAAGAGCTGCTTTCTGAGAAAGCAAAGGTACCTGGGAGAGCAAGAGTTAATAGAACATAGCCCACGTGCTCCCCAAACCAGAGGTTCTTTAAAGGTAGTTCATTAAGTTATTCTCTGACATCCATTGCCTTTTATCTCCAGAGATACTCTAAAAATACCAGGACGCTGCCATTCTTGAGATAAATGTCCATATGTTGTGACTGTAGATTTGCCCTGATAGTTAACCTTCAAAACTTGAAGATGGTGTCAAAGGAGATAGAATATGTGGTTATGTATTTATCAGAATTACACAGAACCAGCAGTAGCCTCGTACAAAATAATTTTTGTTGTAATCTGCCCAAGTCCAAACTACCTCCTACCTCCGCCACCTTCCCAGAGCCACTAGCCCTTAAGAAGGGTCAAGAATAAGTGACTGATAAAGCGTGCGAGCTGTTTTTCGGCATTAATCTGTTATTATGTAAGCTGGGGCTGGGAGTTTTCCTGGCAGCAGCAGAATTTCTTTCATTAATGAATAAGAATGATGTCTGTATGGAGAGGTGGCTTAATTTTTCCAAGAGTTTAATTTGCATCAAGCTGGGATAGGTTTATTTGAATTCCCAAGGGCTTTCCTAACCCTCCGTCAGAGATACCAGTGATACAGTTGTAGAAATAACGAGAACAAGGTGGAAAATCGTTGGAGCTCCCAGCCTTCCATCTCTGCATCATCTGCCTTCTTTCTTCTGCCCCTGCCACCCGCACACTGCGCAGCACTGCTGGGAAAGATGTGAGCCTCTCAGCCTGCAGCCCTGCCTCGCCTGGCTCTGTCCTTCCCCCACAGACACTCAGCCCCCGGCCCGCCCCCTCCTTGTCATTTCCCTGGGACAGTACAGAAAAGCTGTCAAGGCAGGCAGTAGCCTGTCATCCTGCTTTCCACCCACACCCCTTCCCAAACCTGACTCCCCCCTCAGTCTCCACCACCACCGTCATCACCCCCCCACGCCCCCAGCACAGATACACAAAGAACAAAAACATTTTGTAAAAATAGACCCGTTGTGTAATTTAGGCATTATTACGTTACCTACAAGTGTACTCAGTACAGTAGTTAGGGAAGCTCTGTCTAATACAAGACTATCTTTTCTCATCACTAAAAATCTCAGGGTAGGTATTACTTGGATTTGACACTTGCCAACAGCTGCCAAGCCCCCAGACAGCTGTTAAAATGAGTAACCCCTACCCTCCCTAGTCCGCTCGTTTCAGAAGTCTGTTTTGCCGGTTTGCTGTACATACTGACTGCTACCTACCTATGAACTTGTTTCTCCTGTTCTCTGAGTACCAAGCAGAGAGTAAAGATACTCTGACAAAAAGGAGGTCATCTCTAGAAAACAGTAGCTGGAATACAGAAGGTATTCAGGCAGTAATTGCCCACAAAATCAAATACCAGATAAAGGGAATGGGGTGGGGAGAAGGAGTGAACAACAGAAATGATACAGCGACAGTCACTGAGCTTTACCTCAGTTCACATTTTCAGTCTTTTTCCACTGCTGCCTCCCACTGCTATCCTCCTACAGTTATTCTGAACTCGGCTCCAGTGACCAGAGAATTTCCTCTCCCAGCTGGATGGAAGAAGTCTTAATTCAGTCCTACTGGTGGGGAGTTAAATGAGGACTACCTTCCCCTATTCCTCCTCCTTTGCAATGGCTAGTGACCATCAACAATCTCCTGATTTTGGTACCCGTTTTTATACTGTGATCTGTACCCATATATATATAGTCTATAGTCTGTAATTTCTTGTAGGAGATAAGACATTTTCTAAATAACATGAACAAATGGAATTTTTTAAAAACAGCTTTATTTTTATTAAGTTACAATTCACATACCACACAATTCATCCACTTAAATTGTTCAACTCAGTGCTTTCTAGTTTATTACAGAGTTGTACAGCAATCACCATAATCTAATATCAGAACATTTTTGTCTCCCCCTAAAAGCAATGCCCATTAGTGGTCAATCTCCATTCTCCCCCTAACTCCCTACCTTCACCCCTATATAACCACCAATTTACTTTTTGTCTGTATGGATTTCTCTACTCTGGGAATTTCATAGAGAATCATACAGTAGACGGTCTTTTGTAACTGGCTTCTTTGAATGAGTGTAATATTCCATTGTATGGATTTTCCATATTTTAACTGTTCGTCAGTTGGTGGTCATTTGGATTGTTTTCACTTTTGCACTGTTACGAATCTTGCTCCTTTGAACATTTGTGTACGAGTTTTTCTCTGGACCTAAGTTTTTATTTCTCTTGGAGTAGAATTGCTGGATCATAGAACAAATGGAATTTAACCAATCTTCCTTTTACTCAGGGCTTTATGAATATCTCATACAAACATCTCATCTTTTTAATCCAGATGTGGATGCCAACAGAGAGCTGCCACTCACACAGCCACCTTCAGCCCACTCATCCATCCCCAGTGGAAGCTGCCCAGGAACCCCAGAAATGCGCAGGCGGCAGGAGGAGGCTATGCGGAGACTAGCCTCGCAGGTACAATAGGGTTTCCAGGGTGCGGGCATGCCAGTTCCATTTGGACATAAAGGTAGGGGGACCCTTAGCAAAGTGGACAGAAATGTGTACAGCTATACCATGAGACCATGGAGAAAAGTTTCTCTTTCTTTGCTGCTCCTAGAAAAATACTTTGTCATTATGGAATGAAAACCTTATTGTTTGAAAGGCCCTCAGAAATAACCAGAGTCCCATAATGAATAGATAAAGAAGTCGAGACTCAAAGAAGTTATATGATTTATCCAAATCACAGTATAAGCACTCAGTAGTCTTTTGTTTTCATTCCTAGTTCAAAACTCTTCCTTCTATACTGTCCATAATATTTTTATATGTTTGGGTTTTAAATTTCTATTTTTATCAAAGTAACATATGCATGATTTCAAAAATCAAATAATGCTCAAAGACTTATAATAAAAACCAGCAATTCTTTCCCCCTCCTCACGCCAAAGGCGCCACTTTCAACCCCTGAGGCTGTTCTTCTGATCTTTACCTCCACTGTTTCTAAATAATATTCCTATACTGCTATAATTTTTTTCATCATTTTTATATGTTATCTCTTGCTGCTTCTTATGGATGATGGGAATTTTAGGTCTTTCACTTTCCTTCCTCCCTCCATCATCTCATACCATTATATCATGATTTTTGTCTGAATCCATATTACAGTATTTTTAGTATTAGTACTGTGCACATATGTTTCATTGTGGAACCAAGGATAACATTTCCTTCCTGAGCAATTTTGTTTTTCCTGGGGTTAGGAAATGCCTCATTTTAAATTTTGCTTATTCTTGACAGGGGGCACCTGGCTGGTTCAGTTGGTAGAGCATGTGACCATGTGACTCTTGATCTCAGGGTTGTGAGTTCAAGCCCCACGTTAGGTGTGTAGCCTACGTAAAAAAATTTTTTAAATAAAGTAAAATTTGCTTATTCTTTTTCAAATCTGTAGCTATAATCCATAATCCTTAATAGCTTTGTAAAATGCCTCTCAGTACAATTTTCTACATCAGTTACATTTCCCCTGAGACATTGATCTTAGAGCCTTCCATCAAGCTCAGCCTGGACCTAGGATGCTCTTGAGGCTTACCACCTAGCTGTTATCCTGGAAATTCCCATTATTTCTCTTCTGTGTTTGATCCCATGTCATCATCTTCCTTTTTGATTTTATTTCTCATTTTGGTGGGGCACATCCGCCAGTGGCTTCCTATGAAATAGTGCACGGGAGGTAAGTTTTTAAAACTTAATGTTTCTAAAAGCATCTTTATTCCATTCTCATACATTACTATTTATTTGACATAATGTAATTCTAGGTTACGAATTATTTCCCCTCAGAATTTTGAAGGCATTGCTCCATTGTCTTGAGCTTCTAATAATTTTGTTATTAAATGATGTTCTTATTCCTAATTCTTTTTTTTATTGAAGATTTTTATTCATCTGTCAGAGAGCTAGCACAAGCAGGGGGAGCGGCAGGCAGAGGGAGAAGCAGGTTGAGCAAGGAGCCCAATGAGGGACTCATTCCCAGGACCCTGGGATCATGACCTGAGCCAAAGGCAGACACTTAACTGACTGAGCCACCCAGGCATCCCTTATTCTTAATTCTTTATACCATTTTTGCTCTCCAGAAACTTTTAGGATCTTCTTTTTTATCACCATTGTCCTTGGGCCTTTTTTCCATTTATTCTGTTGGTACCTAGCAAGCTCTGGAGATAGTCTTTAATTGTGGGAAGTGCTTTTGTACTACTTATTGATAATTTTATCACCACCATGTGCTCTGTTTTCTCCTTCTACAGCTCTTTTTAATCAAAAATTAGATTCCTTATACTGATACTCTAGTATCTTAAGTTTTCTTTCCTGTATTCTACTTTTGTTTTTCTATTTTGGTTTTTGATTTAACTTTAAGAGATTTTTCACAACGTCACCTTCCGGTCCTTTCACAAGGATTGGCTGTCATAGTTTTCCAATAACTCTTTCTTTTGCCCTAGTTGTTCCCTTCTTTTTCATAGCATTCTGTTCTTGTTTTATAGATGCAGTATTTTCTCTTATCTTTTCCTTAATACTTAGGCACTGGAAAACTGATTGGAAGCTTATGTGTATAGAGAGCATAACTATACAGCAGTAAGATGACCCACCAGCCTTTATTGGAAACACCCAAAAGTCAGTGTTCATAGAGTTTTTTCCTTGTGCTGTTCTTCTCTAGCAAAAAATCCACCCATCTCTTTCCTGGAGGATATATATCCTGGGTATATATCTAGAGCTGGCAAGAGAAGAGCTGGAGTTTCATCATTCAGTATGCAGACTTTTATTCAAGTCCCTGGTTTTCAGTCCTGCACTTGACCCTTACCTATTCTGTGCCTGATATCCCTAAGTCTATTCTCCCTGGTTTTGTTTCTGTAATGAATATAATTCTCTTTCCTGTGGGTTTTGGGGAAGGTGGTCACCTGGCTGGGCAGGGTAGGTGTGGCTGTCTGGAGATCTAACTGCTCCTTATATAAACTTCAAATAATGTCTGTATTTTCAATTACCTTTCTCACCTCATCATCCACAGCACCTGGTGCTTCTAACTCCTGTGCTTTTCTGAGGTTTTACAGATGATTTGGCCCCATCCTATTGTCCTTCCTCCCAGCAGACATTTGTTTCACGTTCTTCTATCTACTAAGTCATTTATGAATCATACATCTACTTTCTAACCTTCTATGTTATAATCTGAGATTACAGACAGCCATATAGGTGGAGTTTGCATGTCTCTTATTCTCCTTATCTTTGCGGATTTTCAACAGAAGAACAAGAGTTGTAACGTGTCTGTTTCCAATATTCAGAGAAATCTCTTGTCATGGTTAATTAGTAATGAGGAACAGGGAGTCATCTGTAATATCATAAGGTTCTCATTTCTTCATAGAAATCCAGTCCAGCCCAGAGCTCAAAGCAGCATATTTCCCCCAACTACGTTTTTAACTGTCCCCACTTATCAGTGGGCTTCTGAAACAGTCTCAGATTTCTCTCATATTCATTGCTAACTCGGTACAACTTTAAAAGACATCTGCTTTTTTCTAAATATTTTGGATAAACTAGCTCCTGCTGCTTCTTTAGAAGAATCAGAATAAATATCACCTTGGAAATACATTGAATGCTGAAGAGCTTCCATCATCATCATCAATTTACTCATTTAGAATGGATGTTTGGAATGCATCAAATACAAGACTGAAGTTAAGGCAGTGAACAAAACAGACACAGTCCCCACTGTTACGTAGCCCACATTCTCGCAGTGGGAGAAAGCCAATAAACAAACATGTAATATGTCAGATCATGATGAGTGCTGAAAAGAGCTCCAGGAATTACGTCTCCCCACATTGTCACTTCTTAGTCTCTCTCTTTCATCGAGAGAAAAAGTCTCAAGAAGTTTATGTTCAGTATTTGGGAAATGTTACATATTGTTTGTAGGAAATTAGTGACTACACTTAAGTGATCTCATTTTGGGGTGCCTGGGTGGCTCAGTTGTTAAGCGTCTGCCTTCAGCTCAGGTCATGATCCCAGGGTCCTGGGATCGAGCCCTGCATTGGGCTCTCTGCTCCACGGGAAGCCTGCTTCTCCCTCTCCCATTCCCCCTGCTTGTGTTACCTCTCTTCCCTGTCTCTCTGTCAAATAAATAAGTAAAAAAATCTTTAAAAAAAAAAAAGTGATCTCATTTTAAATTCCATGATCGTGTCTATCATAAGCAAAATGTAAATCTTTTTTGTGCCTAGAGATGGGATATCTTTAAATTTATATTGAACATTGTATAAGAAATGGCCCTTTAAATTAAAATTGGTGTTTATGTTCAAGATTTGGAAAATGTTAAATATTGTAAGTAGGAAATTAGTGATTATTTACACTTAAGGAATATATTTTAAATTTCATGATTATTTCTTCCTTAAGCAAAATACAAATGCACCTGTTTGCACCTAGAGATGGGATGGTTTTAAGTTTATAGTAAATGTTGTACGAGAAATGGCACCTTATTATCCCAGTAATTGTGCCATGTGTTACATTTTAAATATATAAGCTTGTTCTTGGAAGCATAAAGCAGAAGGCAGCAATCGTACTTCTCACTATATAACAAGCCAGTAAGCAGAAGCCTTTTCAGTAAGATTTTCAAATCAATTAGTATTTTGAGGAGGTAAGCTAATATATGTGAATTAGAAGTGTCCGTGAAGGGGCGCCTGGGTGGCTCAGTCATTAAGCATCTGCCTTAGGCTCAGATCATGATCCCAGGGTCCTGGGATCGAGCCCCACATCGGGCTCCCTGCTAAGCAGGAAGCCTGCTTCTCCCTCTCCCACTCCCCCTGCTTGTGTTCCCACTCTCGCTGTCTCTCTCTCTGTCAAATAAATAAATAAAAATCTTAAAAAGTGTCCATGAAAAACCTATTGATTTGATAAAGTTCTTAGTGCCAATTCTTGTATATCAGTAATTATCATTGGTATTTTCAGGACCTATTGTTAGGTGGGGAGGAAAGTGCACAGGAATAACTATGGGATGCTAACTTTCATGTAAGAAAGAAAGGGATATTAAAAAAATGCACATGTATCTGCTTATTTGTGCAAAAGAAATGCAGGAAGGATAAACCAGAAGGAAAAGATACTGGTTACCTAAAGCTGGTTGGTGGGAATGGAGAATAGGAAGAAATGGGTAATGGAAATGGGGTACCCATTAAGATGAAGAGAGAATGACACTCCTTTGCATGTATTTTTTTGTATAGTTATGACTCTTGGAAATATAGTGATGTTTCACATACCCAAAACATAATTAAAACTAACCAGTATGTTGGGGTGGGGGAAGCCCAAAGTAGAATCCAAACATTCACAAATAAACGTCACTGTATTTCAAGATTTTACACATTTATTTAGAGTGAGAGAGAGTGCACACACATGAGCAGGGGGAGGGGCAGAGGGAGAGAGAGAATCCCAAGCAGACTCCATGCTGAGTGTGGAGCCCAATGCAGGCTCACAACCCT